CTATGTGTTTCAAAAATCCAGCAATTAAATCGGTGAGATACTGACAAAGGATTCATGAGCTCCACCGTAGGCACAGCCTGAAATGCATTGAACTTGACTTACAGCTTGAGCGGCAGCTCCTGCTCACGGCCCCTGGCGGTCAGGGAATGGGCCTTTTGATACTGGTGCTGGGCCATTGTCCACCCGTTCTCCGGGAGGGTGAGGGACAGAGTGAGGGCGACCTTCGGTCTCACTCCAGGAAGGGCTGAGTGGGCCCTGCTGGCTCGAGAGCCCCACATGGGATGCGGGGACAACACACGGGGGAGGCCCCATTTCCCTGCTGAGGGCAGGGGCACAAACTGGAGTCTGGATTCCTTCTTGTGTCGTTTGCCATTTGCTCCTCAAGTCACAGAAGTGGCCGTGCAGTGTGGACGCGAGAGGACGCTGCGCACTCTCAGATCTCACACAAGATGGAAACAGGAGGGGAAGATGCCACCAGAAGCAGATGGAAGAGGAGGGACTTGGGAGAGACAGACATCCTGGCCAGGTGTCCCGGACCCAAGACCCGAAGGCATCAGAGCAGCCAGGTCCCAGGCAGGGCCCCGGAGGAAATGGGCGGCCAAGGAGAGAAGATGGGCGAGGGGCAGGGCTGGCCCGGCCAGCAGAGCGCTCTGGCACTAATTCCTGAGAAACGGCAGGCGCTTGACAAGGGTGAGTAGGGAAGCAACTGGACGCCTTACATTTACCAGGGTTACAGGCCTGCGCGGGGTCTGTTCTCACAATGAACAGAGGTGATGGCAGAGTCCTGGGGCTTCTTCAGAGCGAGCATGCTCCCGCCAGCAATGTAGAAAGCCTTCCAGTGGACATGGGCACCCACCCTCGAGCATAGCTGGGGAAAAGGCACAGATCAGGGGCCAAGAGAGGAGCTCCAGCCTGCAGCGCCTGGAGGGAAGCCATCCAAGGCGATGGCCGGACACCCACTCTGCCACCTCACGGGCCCACACTGTAGTGGACACCATCAGGAAGGGCAAGAAAATCACCTCAGGCAGGCACAGGTGGCTGCGTTTTTTCCCAGAGCTAAGCCAGGCGGCACACACCTAGACGTTAATGTTTTCATCCCCGTTAGAAAGTGAAAATCTTGTTCCTCTCTCGAATGGCTTTGGCCCTCAGAGCGAGCTAGAGGCTTGGGAATGACGACCCCCAGAGGTCATGAGCTGCCTCCTCCACCAGGGTGCATGCCATGGACCGGTGCTGACTTACTAAGCCCTGAGCCAGCCCCTGCTCAGCGCCGTCCCCTCCCAGCAGGCCCCTCGAATAGCCTGTGCTGGAGTCTGTATTTTGACAGGTTGTGGAGACGTTGCCTGGGGCCTTCTGTTTCACAAGAACCAAAATATATTTGCACTGAATTTTTCTCACAGACTCCTGTCAACTTCTTAGGAGGGCATATGGAGTTTTTTTTCTGACTTTTAAAAAGGAGAGAATGGTGTGAAATCAGGGCATGTGGATGAATTTCCTTGCTTGCTCTCGTAGCTGCATGAGAACATGTCACAGGGATGGGACAGAAAAGCAGGGGCAGACTGTGGGGCCTGGACTCACTTCATCCCCTGACCACGCGTGGCTGGGCCCCAGGGACTGCTCTTCACGACTGCTCCGGCCGCAGCGTGGCGCAGGCTCTCCTTCATCAGCTGCAGAGAGGCTGAGGGCTGTGCTGAGGCCCAGCACACGGTCACTTCCTGGCCCTGGGGATGCGCCTGGGAAGAGGGGCTGGGGAGACGGCAGGAATCCGGGTGTAGAGGCCCAGTCTCGGGGCTTCCCTGCACTGCATCTCCACTGCTCCCGAGAGGGCAGGGAAAGCCCACAGGTCAGGGGTGGCGCGAGACGGGCCACGAGCTGGCTGTGTCCTGCTCACCCCTCCGGGTCTGCTGGAAGCCTCAGCTCGGCGGTAGTGCTCCCACCACCCCTCTGTGGTCCGACTTGCCTCTGGAAGACCCCTACTGGAGCGGGCATGCTGAGTACCCCTGTAATCCAGCACTCTGGGAGGCTGAGGCAGGAGGGTCAGGGGCCCTGCCTGAGGCAGCACATTAGCGGGACCCTGTCTCAAAATTTAAGCAGAGGACTGGGGCTGTAGCTGAAGGCCAGGAGTGATCTCCAGTTGCAAACATGAATAAACAAGTTCATGTGGAAGACCCCTTTGCACCACTGTGTGAGTCTCAGACGTGGCTGTCTCTGTTTCACGAAAGCCACCTGTGAGGATTTCGTCCCCTCACCCCAGCCAAGAAAACCTGGCATGGAAAACAAATTTAAAACCAAAGTGGAGCAAATGACTCAAAGTGCTGGTGCCTAATAATCACGCAATCTCTTGGCTGTGAGAAAGAGGCTTTGGACTCCACCTTTCCCTTATTTCAGAAGAACCCTGGCCCCGTCTGTCCCAGGGTTTAGGTCCCCTACTGGCCTATTTCCCCCAGGCCACCTGCCATCCTGCTCCTCCCCACGGCCCCTGTGCTCAGCTCCTCTGTCCTCCTCTGCTTGGCTGCCACACCCCGGGTCCTGGTGACCTGTGCAGCAGAAAGAGGGTTGCACACACTACGCCCTGCCCCTGCTCCCAGCCGAGGCCCTGGGCCCCACAGTCAGCGCCTGAGGTGCGAATTCCGCTCCTTCTGGCCTCTGCATCCATCAGAAGCAAGCGCACAGCCAAGCCCCATGGGACCTTAGGCACAGGAGCTGCTCCTGGTGCCTGGCACACAGGTCTCGCGACACAGCTGGCACCACGGCAGCAGCAGGATTGCGTGGGGCCCTTGCCCCACCACACAGCCCTGGCGCTAGGGCACCTAGACCTGCCCGACTCTGTCCTCTGTACCCCAAGCCGCCCTGCTCCAAGTCTGCCATGCGCCTCCCCCGCACACACACACCCTGAGCCCAGGCTCACAGGAGGCTATGTCCCATTGCGGGGACTCAGTGGCAGGGGCACTTGGAGCTGTGTCCTCTTCCACCAGCAAGGAGGATGCCCGCTCTCACTGCCATCCGTGTGTACAATTCAGTCAGTGCTGTGGTGGAGGGACAGGGGCCCTCCATCCTCTCGGGAACCAGAAAACAGCAGATGAGAGCAACAGCCTCCTCCACAACTGTGTGTGTGTGAGCGCCTAAATGTGTGAGATTGTGGGTGTCGTGTGTGTGTGAGTTGGTTGTTTACTGTCAGTTACAGCAGACTATTCTGAAGTCTGAGCTGATGTACTGTGCTTCATTTCTGCTATCTTCATGCCATCTTTGGGAAATCACCGTGGTATTAGGTGATGCTAGATTCTAGTAGTTTTTTGTTTTTTTTAATATTCTTATTTGCAGCCAGCTGTGGTGACATTTGCCTGTAATCCCAGCACTCGGGAGGCTGGGGCGGCAGGATTACTTTGAGGTCAAGGCCAGCCTAGGCCACATATCAGAAAAACCCTCTTCTTTGGCAAAAGAAAGTTAAAAATAACTGGGAAACAATAGGTAACAGTGGTCAGAAGCATTGTTCCAGAAACCAGGCAGTCAGGGCAGATGTGCCAAGAGCACCTGCCCCTGTGGGAAGCATGCCGACCTGCGGACTCTGGGGCCCTCAGAGCCACCTGTGCCGGGCAGTCTCCCCCGCAGCGCAGGCTCCGGAAGTTGGGGCAGTCCCGCGGCAAACCCTCAGGTCTCGGCTTCATGGAGCTGTGTGTGCGTGTGAAGCAGTCACAGAAGCACCCACCCCTCGGGCCCACAGCACCCCGGCTCCCTGTCATTTTGGGGAGTCTCTGGGGAGGCCTCTGCCACGTGCCCACATGGCATGGCCCTGTGACAGCTTCACAGGCAGCCCACTGAGCTTCACACCAGGGCTCCAGGGTCAGCACTGAGGTTTTGGGGTCCCTTCCTGCATTAAGAGTTAAGAAGTGATGTTTATAACTGCATTGGTGGAAGTACTGAGGTACTACTACGTATTAAAGCATGCTGCTGGGACAGAGTTCAGTGTGCGTGTGTGTGTGTGCGTGTGTGTGTGTGTGTGTGTGTGCGCACGCACACGCACACACATAGTCCCTGTGCTGGGCACCTGTGTGCCCCTGGTGACATTGCCACAGCCCTGCCTCTCTTTCTCACTGACCCATGAGCTCCAGGCCACTGCTCACCTCTGCCACCTCCCTAAGTCGCTGTCCCCTCACCATCTCGCTGCAGGTGCTGGATCAGTCTGTGGCGAGTAGCTCTCCCTTCTACCCAGCATCCACACACACAGCCTTTCCCTCAGAGGTGTTGTATCCAGACTCAGGCACAGGAAGGGACGGAGCACGCCCACCACACACAGCCCAGTGCAGCTTCGTCGCAGCCCGGCTGGAACATGGGGTGCAGGTGTGAGCCCCTGGTCCCTCTAGAACGGCCTCAGCTTGTCAGCCTGGCTTCTGCTCCCCACATTCCCAGAGTGGGGTGGCTGGGCTGGAAAAAGCGCTCCTACTGTTCCAGCTAAAATCGAGGTGTCAGTTGTCAGGATAGCCAGGAAGAGCTGCCTGGCCAGTGCTTAGGACAAAGCTTTTACAGAGGCTTCTGAGCCCGTGAGGACCCGAGCCACAGGGAAGCTGAGAGCAGGGTGAGTGGGGAGGACAGGCGAGGACAGGTGCAGGACAGGCACAGCGTCCACTGAGAGATGCCGAGGACGTGTGGCCGGTCCCCTCCCTGACCCAGCCCTTGGTACTCTGTCTCGGTGCTAGTGACACAAAGGAGCTCTTGGCCAGGTCCCACGGCAGAGGAAGCCACTGCAGGGGCTGCACGGTAGCTGTGGCTGACATGCAGGAGGGAGTATAACACAGCCAGCCCCGAGGTGGCAGGCAGGGGACAGTCAGCGCCCCAGGACCCAGAGACCCTCCTCACACGGCCACCCTCCGTCCCTCTGCACATGGATGTCTGTGTGTTATGACACAGTCAGGCTCCTGATGAGCACCGTGGTGCCGCGGGGTTTCTGTGTCATTGTTAATGTACTGTTCTTGTCTTCTGTCCCCTTCTGTTGTCGGACCAAACAGAAGTATTCTGCTGTTTCTCTCTGCAACATCTCCACAGAAGTCCTAAAGGTCATCACTGCCACCGAGGAGCTGATTGCAGAGTCCACAGGGCCCTGGGAGCTCCCGCCAGTCCCTGCTGGCAGAGAGGAGGGGACATTTCCTCTCGGGACCAGCCAAGCAAGACTGGAGGAGCAGCTGACCCACCTGGAAGAGAACGTAAGGGGCAGACGTGGCTGGCAGGGGTGGGGGAGCATGCAGAGCAGCGGCCAAGGGCTCCGTGGGTCACCACCAAGTGGGAGGACATGCCACCATGGCCACCACAGCCAGCGTGGCCTCAGAGACCAGGAAACAAAAGCCAGACGAGGGTCCGGGCTGATGAGGTCGCTCTCATAGGGAGATGAGGGAGGAGAGAGGAGGGAGTTAGCCAGGCAGGGTAGGGCTTGGCTGGGAGTCGGCCCTGACCTAGGGCAGAGGAACTGGCCCTCCCTTGGCCAGCAGGGACATCAGTGGCTCTGTGCGCCCCCAAGCAGTCCCAGAGGATGCCTCCTGTAGGGAGCAAGTGTAACTGTAGCCGGGCACAGCGGAAATGCGGTCATACAGTAACACTAACAGTGACACCACTGAGTCACACCAGTGTTCCTGTGTTCAGGCTCAGCCAGGGGGAAGTCACTCAGGGCCATTGTGGTGGGCATGGCGCCAGCTTAGGGACCCTGCACAGGCTGAGGGCACCTGGGGGCCCAGAGCCAGGAGATGGTGAGGTTGAATGGATGGAAGAATCACCAAAAGGCATGAACACATCAGGGTGAGGAAACCATCTGAGATGCTGGCTGAAGAAACCCAACAGGTGAGTGAGAGGACAAAGCAGGCTCTGTGGACATCACGGGTAGCAGGATGTGAGGAGCCCCAACAGATACTGAGGACGGCCACACACCGAGGACAGCGACTCTGGCTGAGCCAGCCGAGCAGAGCTCTCTGGATGAGACAGGTTTATGAAGAAGTGTGCAGATGGGCTGGAAAAGACTCGAGCTGGCTGACAGTCAGCAAGGGGGTTGTGGAGGGCAAAGGGCATGTGAGGAGGCTGCCTGTGCCCTCGGGGAAGGGGACAGGAGCCCAGGGACCTCAGTCATGCACCAGACCTGCCCACTGTCCCCGCTCAGGACTCCAGCACAGGCAGCTGTCTTTGCCGTCTCCAGTGAAAACCCCGGCCCCATGCACAGAGCAGGAACCCACCGCCCTCCTCCCCGCCGAACTCCACACTGCGTGTCCAGGCCCCTAGGGGCTGAGCAGAGTCCTGCTGCTTTGCCCCATGGCCTCCTGACCACACTGAGACCAGGACGCTCGGTCACTCGCCTCCACAGCCCTTCTCTCTCCCAGCTCCGTGGCTGGTCAGAAGGAAAATGCCTAAAATCACATACATTCAAACTGACTCTTTTTAAGTTTTATCGGTACATGTTTGCAATACCCGAAGTTCACATTCATCTTGAGGAGCAAGTGCGTGTACTTGACACGGCGTGATTCTTTTTTAATCCTCTTCCTCTTCCCAAACACCTCCCTCCACCTTTTCCCTATGTCCATTCTTGTTTTTATTATGATTCTCAGCTCATGTCTGTGACATTGTTCTTTGTATTCATTGAGGTCTTCAAGTTCCAGCACGTATACGTCCAACCCTCTTACTGCCCCCCTCACCCGTGGTCTCTTGGACCTTACCTATTTGCAAGAGTTCCAGCTCCTTGTTTCCTTCTGTCCACCCTTCACTGTGCTCTTCCTCTGTACTTTGCTTTACTCAGATGAGCAATAGCACGTGGTATTTAAGGTTTTGTGTCTGACATTTTACTCAACATTATATTTTCCAGGTGTGTTCATTTTCCTCCAAATGTCTTGAATGTATCCTTCTTTGTAGCTGAGTAGCATTCCATTACATACAAAGTCCATTTTCTTAGTCCATTCATCTGTTGATGGGTATCCGGGCTGCTTCCAGGATTGAGCTATTAGAAATTGTGCTGCTATAAACATGTATCACTTTGGGGAAGATACCTAGAAGGGGAAGGGCTGTGTCGAGTGGAATTTCCGATTTTAGTTCTTTGACAATCTCCAAACTGATTTCCGTAGCAGTTGCATAGTTTACATTCCCACCAACAATGTGGGACGGTTCCTTTTACCTGCAGCCATGCATTATTCTTTGACTTCTTGGTGACTGCCAGACTTACTGGTGTAAGATGGAATCTTAGCACTGTTTTAATTTGCATTTCTCTCATAGGCACATTGAACATTTTTCATATGTTTGTTGGCCATTTGTAGTTCTTCCTCTGAGAAGAGTCTATTCATTTTAGTTGCCCGTTTCTTGATTGGGTCTTTTATTTGGGGTGATCTCATTTTTTTTTTTTTAGTTCTTTATATATCTAGATATTAGTCTTCTGAGGAGTTGCTAGCAAAGTTTTTTTCCCATTCTGTAGATTGTCTCTTCACTCTACTGCTTGTTTCCTTTGCTGTGCAGAAGCTTTTTAATTTGATATAACCTAGTTCATTGCTATTACCTCTTGCGCAGATGGGGCTCTATCGAGAAAGCCCTGGCCAGCGTGACTTCAAGTGTTTTACCTTTCTAACCTTCGAGTAGATTCAGTGTTTCTGTTTTAATGTTTAGATCTTTGATCCATTTTTATTTTAGTTTAGGACATGGGGTGAGATATGGGTCCAGCTTCAGTCTTTGCAAATAGATGACCAGTTTTCCCAGCACCATTTGTTGAACTAACTTTACAATGAAAACTACAGTTCTCTGAAAAGGGAGCCTGAAGAGAACATCAGAAAACCAAAGCGATATCGTGGATAGACAGATCCAATATTGTCACACTCCCAAAACTGACCCACAGATTTAACACGACCACAATCAAAATACCAACAGCATTCTTCTCAGAACTAGAGAAAACAATCCTAAAATTCGTATGGAACCAGAAGAGACCCAGAATAGCAAAAGCAATCTTGGGCAGCAAGAGCAAAGCAGGAGGGATCACAATACCTGATTTCAAGCCATACAACAAAGCTACAGTGATAGAAACAGCATGGCTCTGGCACCAAAGACATTCGGACCAGTGCAGCAGAACAGACACATGCAGCTACTTTGGTCTTCGACGAAGGTGCCAAAAGTGCATTTCTTCTTTGGAAATACATTTAGTGTAACGCTTGCACAAAATAAATGTCTCACACATTAATAATTGTGTTGCACAAGCACCATTGCCACTTTCTGCAGCAGCCCCATCAAGAGACGCTAGAGAAGGACCTTCCCAGAGCAGTTCCAGCCTTGATCACAGAGACCTTTCGTTCCCTCCCTCCCTGGGACAAGGACACTACAGCTTTCAAGACCCCTGAGAAGGAAGGGAAGGAAGGAGGTCCTGTTGGTGACTGCACTTTGCCAAAATTCACACAGCTCACTAAGTGCAGGAAGGGTGGCCTGGAGTCTTCCTGCCTCGGTTGCCGTGTCGGCACCCTGCTACTCCTCTGGGCCCTGTGGTATCAGCTCCTCTCCTGCCCTAGGAGTCTGTGCCCAGACATGGGGCCTGGAGAGGGCTGGGGCCTGAAGGGCTGTGCAGGGGCAGGTGGATGAGAGATTGGAGATGCCTGAAGCCTGCTTCATGGATGAAGGGACTGAGACAGCTCACGGCACACCTCGAAGCAAATTCTAACTAACGTGCTCACGTCTACTCTTGCTCCATCACCTCCCCATGATTTTGCTCCTAAAGAGAATTTGCAGATACAGTTGTTTCTGGTAAAGGACTCAGTAGTTTCTTCCTTCCATTCATGGAAGAAAAACATCTTTGTGTGTGTGTGTGTGTGCGCGTGCGCGTGCATGTGCGTGCACACACCAGGGACAGAACCCAGGGTCTTGCACATGCAGGCAAAAGCTCACCACAGAGCCTCACCCGGCCTCAGGAAGAGAGAGAACATTAATTCCAGTGCAGAGATGACCGGGCCTGGGTGTGGGAAAGGCCCCTGGGCCTGAGGAGGAGCGTCTGCACACACATGGAGCTTTGGGAGCAGACTCTCCTCCTAACTGTGGGTCATTCTGTCCTCCTACTTGTGAGAAAGAGAAGTGTCCACAGCAGTGTGAGTTCTCCCTTCTTGCAGGGAGAGTCGTGTGGTCCCCAGATCATGGGTCACCACTGTCCACCATCACTACTGTCATCAGCCAAGAAAGTGACATTAGACCCAGACAGCGGATTCTATCTCCTGACCCGCACAGTGGACCCTGCTTCAGGGCCCTGTGGTGAATGCTGTTCCCAGAAATCAGAAGCTGGTATTAGAGGCATTGTGACAAAAATGAAACCAGCATATGACTCGGGACAAATATGCCACCCTTTGTTCCATTTTAAAGTCGAAGGTTCTCTCCCTTTGGAAGCCACCAAGCCCCAGCCACATTTCCCTGACCACTTCCCCTCTGCCATGCTTTCTGTCCATGCATCCACTGCTGACAGATGTTCCAGGTTCTATGGGTCCTGTCCCATGCATTGTATGTTTAGCAGCATCCCTGGCCTCTGCCCCACTAACTGGTCACAGCAACACCTTCCTGGTTATGACTATCAGAAGTGCTCTGTATTTGTCAGCTTTCTATCACCATGACAAAATACCTGAGAGAACCAGTGTATGGGAAGAAAGGCTTCTTGTGGCTCGCAGTTTCTGAGGGCTCAGTCCATGGACCTGTGGTGAGGCAGAGGATCATGGCAGAGCACACAGTAGGGCAACATGGCCACCTCATGGTGCACAGGAGGGAGACAGAGCGAGGAGGGGCAGGACCAGTGTCCTACCCCTATGACCTGCCCCCTTCACTGAGGCCTCACCTCCTCGTGAGACCTCATCAGTGGGCAAGTCTACTTGTGGATTAGCACCCTTGGGGTCCAGTCACTTCCCAAAGCCAGCAGATGGCCTCAGGAGGCGTCTGCAGTCCCAACCACAGCAGCCTCCAAGCACCATCCACGATTAGGGACAGGGAAGAGGCATAATCGCCCCAGGCTTGACAGCAGATGTAGCAGCTCCCACAGAACCAGCTGCTGTATTTCTGGTGTGGAGCCAGCACTGAGCCCTGTCCAGCAAAGGCACGATGCCCCCCAGAATGTCCTGATGGACAACGACATCAGTGGTTGTGGACAGAGCCCTTTGGCAAAGAAGGGTAGTTTCACTCCAAATGCAGGTCAAGTGTGTCTGTAACGTAGGTTTTCAGTTCTAGACTCAGATTGAAAGGCTTGGGAAAATACATCTTTTAAAACAGAATATGATAGCAGAGACCCACACGTGAAACGTCCTGACTTAGAGGCCATGGTGGCTTCTTGTCAGGTGCTGAGAGCAGACAGTGCCTTTCTTTCTCCCCAGGGCTGTGTCAGGCCCCGGTCTGGGGCCTTGTCTGTGCTGAGCTTCTGTTGTGATGATTTGGGGCAGGGCTTATTAGCACACTGGCCCCAGGGACCAGAGACCTGTAGTGGCTGCGCCCATCCTGTGCCACAGAAGCTTCCCCTGTCCCCAAGAGTTACAGCCATTTCTGGGTCCTCAGCTTCTATGGCTCTGCGATCGATATGAGGGGCTCTCCTTCCCTCTCTGGCTCCGGATCACAGGGCCTCGGGCGCAGCTATGATGCTGTTCCCAGGGGAATTCGACGGAGGGGGGACAAGGCCTTGGGTGCAGCTGGTTTGGTTTAATCAAAAGGTACTCCGTGGGTCACACCGTAAAGAGTGCACCTCCATCCTCAGCTTGCTGCCTTGGTGGGAAACAGGAGCAGCCCCGTGGGCAGATCTGAGATGCAGAGAACGCTCACCTTGAGAGCTGTCTGAAGCTCACACACGGAAACCCACTCAGAGATACCCGAGCCCTGTGTCTGTGACCTGTGCACCCAGGCATCACATGCGCATCCCCTCCCCTGCTGCCCTTGTCCGCCCTCTTCCCTACCAGGGACCAGAAGGAAGTGCACGGCCAGCAGCGCCGTTGCTAGGTGGAAGGGGTCTCTGGTATGTGAACCCCTGCAGTGTGATGTGTCCGGCCGGGTGGGGCTGGGGGACACTTAACTCAGGGGTGATCAGGGAAGTGACGCCCCCATCAGGACAGTGCCATCTGGAACTGTGCCACTCCCAGCCATGAGCCACAGCCCAGAAAAGAGGGACCATGGGAGGCCACAGTCTCGGTGAGGACAGGAGGGAACGAAACACTCCTGATGTCTTTCTGTCCCTGCTTTTTTTTTTTTTTTTAGCAATATGGGGAATTGAACCCAAGGCCTTCACACTTAGCTACATCCCCACTGCTTTTTATTTTGAGATGGGGTCTTGCTAATTTGCCTAGCTGGGCTTGAACTTGCAGTCCTCCTGGCTCAGCCTCCCTGAGATGACAGACTTGCACTAGTACACCCACTCGTACCCGCTGCCTGCAACCTCCTGCTAATGTCCCACCCCACCACAAGCCCAGGTGACATGAAGCTGACCTAGGTCAGTCTCACGGAGCAGAGCAGACGGACTGAGAAGGACAGACAGTGGGCTCCCCACCCCCCACTCCCTCCAACCCCATCTGAGGACTGGCCTGCCTCGGCCTTCATCCTCACTGTGCAAAGGGCAGCCCAGTTCCCTGACTCCCACGCTCCAGCCTCTTCCCACTCTGCCCCTTTCCCTGCCACCAAGAGGTGGCAGCAGACACCCAGAGTTGTCCCTAGGCCGTGGTGGGCAGCCTGTGCCAGAGGTGGTGGCACCACACACAGCAGCTGTGCTTAGGAAGACCAGCGGTCCCTGTCCTTCCTTGACCCCTAGCCTGGTCTCAGGGCAGCCACACCCACAGCGTGCTCTGAGGCCCGTGACTTGGGAAGTGTGTGCGGCTCCTGCAAGGATCGCTGAGGTCAAGGCTGCCAGCACGAACCAGTCCTGCATACAGAAGCCAGGGTGTCGCTCCGTCCCCTGGGGGCCTGGCGCAGAGTCTTCCTTAACACACACCTGTCCTGCTCAGAACTCCCCAAGGCCTCACCAGGTCCACAGCTAGGTTTGAAGACATGGGCTGTGCAGACAAGGCCACCGCGGTCCTGTCCGCAAGTGGATGGAAGGAGGACAGCAGTCTGGGATGCTTCTCGGATAGCGATGGCTCTACAGCCAGAGGGGCACATGCGCCCTGCAGGGCCTGCGGCAGAGCCAGGGTTAGGCTATCCGCCCTGCAGCAGCTCTGGGCGCGGCTTCCTGCTGAGATGCAGTGACCCAGGACCCAGCATCCCTAGCTCGTGCCCAGTCCTCTTCCCAGCGGGGCCTGGGGAAGGCTCGGGACCTGCCCACCTGGAGCACAGGGTTGCATCGTACCTATCCGTGCCGGCGTGGCCACAGCGTTGAGGCCCATCAACCCGGCTCAGCAAGTTCCTATCACCTCCTCATCCCTGCCCGTCAGGTGTCACCCTGCAAGGCCAGGCCTGCCGAGGCCAGAGACAGAGCTCGGAGGGCGGGCTGTGAGGGGCAGTGGAAGAGGCGAGGCCCCGGCCTTCCCAGCGCTGGGGCTCTTTCACGTTGCTCTGTCTCAGAAAAGAAGAGGGAATTTTAGCAGACGCCTGTGTTGGAAATGTGACCAGCAGTCAGGGGGCACAGTCTGGGGGCTGCCTTGAGCCCGTGAGGCTCCTCTGGGGAAGCCAGGGTCCAAGGCCAGGTCGTGTTTCTGCTCGCCACACTTAAGTGACTCATTTCAAGTAAATCACAAGTCAAATTTTGTTTAAAGAACTAAACATATTTTAAGGTGATACCTAAGTAAATTTATCATTATTAATATGGATGGGAAAAGGCGTTTACAAAGTGTAATAAACTCCAACACGCTCTTCCTTCTCTCTCTTCAAAACTTTTCTTCAAAAATGTTAGCACATCTTAGAATACTTTATCCACTCTGCACCTTTGAAATACGGAGGTGCCTCGTTCCTCCACAGCTCTGGGAGGCCCAAGGTCGCGATGGGCACCCGACAGTTTGCCGGTGGAAGTGGGATTTTGCTGAATGCCTCTGTTCCTGCACCACATTGAACTCATCACTCCTCTCATCGGAGGAACAGTGACGACGAAATAAACGGTGAGGGTTTCAGAGGCAGCATCTCCCCACACTCAGCCCGCGGTGAGGGGAAGAGAAGCCGAGGGCGGCCTGCTCGAAGCACTGTGACGGATGAACGGACAGCTGGACAGACCGATGGACGGTGGATGCAGGTCCTTGTGGGAGGTGCCACACAACACCTGCAGCGCCGTCTGGTCGGGAGGCTCCCACAGCCGGGCCCTCGCTCCGCCCGGGCGCTCTTCTGTGCCAAGCTTTCGGCTCCACCGGGGTGGTGCGAGAGACCCACAGGACGGGCAGGGCCTCCCGCCTCACGGTGATCACACTGGCGTCTGCCGTGCACGTGGTGTGGCTGCTGTTCAGGGCACCTGGCGCGGCCCAGCGCCCTCCGTCAGCTCGAGTCACAGCAGCGTGGGACCAGCGTGCGCTCTGCTCAGCTTCACTCTGATGCCTGCGACTCCTGCTGAGTGGCGAGCGTGCCGACCGCACACGGGGACCAGTCTGCAGCAGCTGCCGCCTGAAGACGACCGTGTCCCTCGTCGTGGGTGGCTCCATCACGTTATTGAGGAGGCTGAGGAAGCGTTTGTGAAAACCACCTCTACCTGCTTGTCAAAACATATCTTAGCGGGGCCGGTGACTCACGCCTGTCATCCCAGCACTCTGGGAGGCTGAGGCAGGAGGATCACAAGTTCAAGCCCAGCCTGGGCAACTCACAGTGAGTTAGTGAGACCCTGTCTCAAAGTAAAAAGTAAGAAAAAGTTTGGGGATGTAGCACAGTTCAAAGGCTCTGGGTTCACCCATCAATACTACAAAAAAGAAAGGTCTTTTATTTCAAATTACTCTATCTGATCTGCTCTCTGATTTCACTAGCTGTCAAAAAATTACCCTAACTGACACAGATTTCATGTGTCTCTCCTAACATCAGATTTTCTTCTAAGGAAGTGCTTTCCTACTCTAAATTTCAAGTTCACTTTAATTCCCTTAACTCATTTTCAACAAGCAGAAAGACATTCATCAGCAATGATTTGCTCAAAGTTGCCAGTTATTTTAAACTAAACACTCCTTTCGTGGTGAATTTTTCTCAGTTACTAAATGCCAACCGAAACCTTCACAGGGAAAGACCCTGTCATGAGCTTCTGTCTGTTTCTCCACACCCCTTTTGACGAGTCACTGGGCAAACCGGTAACTCAGAGCTCACGCTGAGTGCTCTGTAGGTTTCCTTACAGGCAGCTCACTAGTCCATTTCCTGAAGAAAGGCTGGAGGGGAGTGGCTGGCTGTGAAGCATACGAAGGCATCTTTCCTGCGGGGACCCCCTTTCTCCCTCGCTCCCTGTATCTTGGGCCCCTGCTGAGAATCCCAGGTATGCGCACCTGAGCAGCCGCCTCTCCCCACAGGTGTACCTGGCAGCGGGAACGGTGTACGGGCTGGAGGGCCAGCTCACTGAGCTGGAGGACGCTGCCCGCAGCATCCACAGTGGCACCCAGGACACAGAGCTGGCAGAACTGGAGGACCAGGTGGCTGCGGCTGCTGCCCAGGTGCACCACGCAGAGCTGCAGGTAAGGGTGAGTGGCGCCCACCAGGGCTGTCACCCTCGGTGGGCTCCAGGGAGGGCATCCACCAAGCCTGCCCTCTTGAGCACAGCTGTCTCCTCCCTGAATCACAGCTTCTGTAGCACTCCGGGATTCTCTTTAAAGTCCTGTGCTGGTTTCCTCCTTGGCAAATCACCTGCCCCACCCAAGACCCCTTGCTGTTGAACCCCGAGACTATCTTTCTCCAGTCATGGCCACACTGTTGATCACTTCATGCCCGTTTCCCCACCTTGGCCTACAAGCTCCGCGAGGACGGGACTGTGCCTGTCTCACTTAGTGTATGACTCCGGTGCCTCTCACCCTGCCGGACACAAAATAAGGACATTCATGTCTTTACGAGGATGAACTAAAATACAGTGACTGGGGCCAGGGATTTAACAGTGTTACCATACCTGCCTCGAAAGCGCAAGGTCACGAGTTCGATCCCTGGTACCAAATAAATAAATAAATATAAAATACAGTGATTGCTGCTGCCAAGCACCCAACAGAAATGCAGGCTGTGAAACACGACAGTGTCCTCATTGACCTCACTCAGCAGATCTGTTACTGTCCAGGGGCCTTCTGGTTCTTCCCTAAGGTCAAAATGACCATGAAAAGGCTTTGAATCCATTCAAGACATCAAGGTACCCAGGACAGCGCAGCTAAAGACCACCCCCGCCCCGAAAGGACTCCAGAGCTGCTGCAGAAAGTGACGAGAACAATGGGAAAGAGTATTCAGAGCAGGCAGGGTTTTGAGGAGAACTGATGGTAATGTGTCTTTTACTTCAGATTATTCGAAACATTCACCATATTTTTCAATCGCACCTCCTATTTCTGTACACCTCACATTTTGGAACTATATCTTTGGGACCACTTCTGAATAGAGACTGTGACGATCTAAAGAATTATGATTATGATTTTTAAATAGCCAAAAATCACAGCCACTGCTGGCACTGTTGATGAGAAGGGCGTGGTTAATGCCGTGAGCTGGGGCTGGCTGCATCACAGTGGTCCTGTTGGCTACTCATCAGCAGCCAGAATAGTTAAAAGGCAACTTTCCTCAATTATTTTCCATAAGTGTTTCCCAAGATTTAGTAAATTTATTGTCAAAGTTATAGAAAGCAGAATCCAATCATTTGTGTTCTAGTGCATTGCATAGCAAATAGTCTCTGAATGGTTTAGCAGGAAATAATATTATTTATGAGTGTGTAGGAGGGTCTTATTGGATAATTAGTTATTTCTACTTCCAAATTTTTCTAGGCTTAAATTATTGGATCCCTAGTTTGTGGAGTCCCACATATTTTTCTATGTGTTTGAATGTACCTATTAAATTATTATTCATTTCTAAGCATCCCAGTGGTGTGGATAACACCCAGTGCTCCAGAAACTTACTTCCTGCCAAGAGTTGTGCTTTGCCTCACTATTACAACTTAATCTTTTCAGCAACCCCAGGAGGTGGCAGCTTCTCTAATCACCATTTTTTTATCTTCAGAAACTCAGGAGGCAAAAGGTTGAGCCACTTGCCCAAGGTCAAATGCCAGAAAGTCGTGGGGCATGGGGATTTTTGTCCATGGCCAAGAGTGTGCAGCGTGTGCACAAGTTGCCCGCCCCACCACAGCCCCGGGTTGACCCAGGTGGGCAGCCATAGGGCGGACCCCTCCACCCCACCAGGTGCTACCAGAGCAGAGGCTCAGCTCCTATCCACACAGGCGTGGAGGACCCTGCCCATCCGTCTGTCCATGAGCCTGCGTGGAGTCCTCCTGGCCCTCCGTACCAGGAGAAGTTGCTCACCTGAGCCCCTGATCCTTAGCTGGGAACAGAGCCCGATGCCAAGCTGTTAGCTCTGACACCCAGCATACTCAAGAGCTGGCTCCATCAACCCTGGCCAGCGTACCGCCCAGGGCACTGCATCTTGGGGGGACTCAGGCAGTTACAGGTAGGCCAGTACGTGACAGATAGATAGATGACGACAGGCAGATTAACAGAATGTAGGCAAAGTTAGCCCTCAGCAGTTGCCTTTCTGTTCTCTTTGTCCTTTGTCCTGGGCACTAACACTTGAGGAGTCAGTGCTCCTCACTCCAGAACCTGACTGCCAGCAGATGGGCGGTCAGCAGGGCACTCTCCCTCTGGAGGAAGGCCTGCATCCGAGCTGCTCCCAGGCTCGAGCAGCACTGAGTGCACAGTGGTTCCCAATGACTGAAGAGAGCATAGCCCACAGCTTTTCTCAGAGGCTCCTTGATGTATCTGCCTATAAACCAAAGAAATGCAGCTGTCAATGGGAGGTTTACAGGAGTCTGAGCACAGAGGTGGCGGCCCTGGCCTCCTTCTGGGGTGGCTCCTGGCAGCTGAACTTTTGTTCTTTCACCACCTGTCTCCTTCCCCTCCCCTCCCCCTCCAACTCCTCCTCTGACCAAGAGGTCCCCTCTCAGTGAAGAAGAGTCACCCACGTGTGCTGATGACCCTTCAAGCCTTCCCTGTGTACCTTGACTTAGTCACTTTCCTGTGGCTGGGACACAGTACCCAACACCCACAGCTTAGAGAAGGAGAGGTTAGTTTTGGCTTGTGTTTGGCCGACTCAGAGGCAGGAAGCCATGGCAGAAGGGTCTTGCGGAGGAGAGCTGCTCAGGGCATGGCAGCCAGGAAGCAGAGAGGGAAGGGAGGAGCCAGGAGGGAGACAGACACTTCTAGGCCACGCCCCTGTGAGTGCCTCCACTAGATCCCATCCCCTCACCCCAGGCCAGCTGTGGCCCCATTACCCAGTCACCTTTGAAAAACCCCATGTCTGAGCACAAGAGGCTCTGGGGACATCTGGGTCTAAGCCTACTGCACCTCTCACAGTGCCTGTCTCCATGGACTCTGCCCAAAAGTGTCCAGTGACCAGCAGAAGGTCTAGGGGTGCTGGAGCACAGCACGTGGTAGAAGGACCAAGAGGTGGAGCTCACGCCTGCAGCTGCCAGGTGGCCTGGGTGGGGCTCCAGGGACCCTCAGGCTGCACCATCCAGCAGTGGCTGAGTCCCGCCTCTTCTGGGACTCCGAGGTCCCTTTGTTGCCTCTCCTGCCCCACCCTGCATGGCGCTAGGCTGTGACCAGTCCTGAAGAACACAACAGCATGGGAGCCTGGCACCGGGCACCCGCTGACCCTCAACTGTGAGTGGCAGCATCCCATGAGACACCAGCTGCCCACGGTTGTGCTGTGGCCTGAGTGGGCTCACGTATTCCAAGCCTGGAGCATGCGCCTGGTGTGCAGTGCCCTTCCCAAGGCCGAGGACTGTCCCTCCTCACTGGGCGAGATGACCTGGTCCTCCCCTCTGTGTCAGACTGGAAGGAAATGTGGGCTCCCCACCCTCCCCGGGCATAGAGGAGGACACCGATGAGTGAAGAGGTGGACTCAGGCAGGGCCTCCAAGCCTCTCCCCAGGCCCAGAGGCCGCAGGTGAGGTGCAGAGCTGTGGGAGAAGAGCACAGGGTGCGAAAGTCACTCTCACCCTTCAAAGCCCCACTCAAGCAGCAGCGCAAACAGAGCCGACTCCATCTGTTTTCTGTTGCTGTAACAACGCTGGTGGCTGAGTGCCCTACAAAGAGAAGTGTTTTCTGCCACTCCCTGAGCTGGAGGTCAAAGCCCAGGCCTGGGGAGCCCCGTCCTCTTGGGCTCCGGAGGTGCCGTGGCAGATGGCACCGCACAGCTCCAGTGCGTCCCACAGACGGCACAGGCCAGCACTTGGTCCCTGTGGGGCACAGCAAGGGGTGGAGGAGGCAGGGCCTCCTGGGGTCCTTCAGCTTCCAGGGTGGCTGGGCTCAGAAAGGATCGGCGCTCTCCTGACCCCTGAGCTGATGAAAAGAGGGCTCCCACCTCTTCCCTCTGGCTCCCCGGCTGTGTGACCCGCCCCTCCCATGAGCGCCTTGCTCTGGTGACACTGCTACATCCACTGTGCTGTGACCGGGGACGTGGGCACCGGCTTTGGAGCCTCCAGGTCTGTGAGTGAGGGAGCCTCTCCCGGCTCTGGCGTTCTGTGCTGGAATGAAAACAGCTGAAGCTCACAGTGCAGCGGGAGCCAGGAAGCCAGGCCGTGTCTGCCTTTCTCTAGCTCACTATCTTGGGAACGGCTGGGCACCGCGAGCACCACGACGGTGCCCATGACCTGACCAGGTTCCCCTGCCCCCAGCGCCTCAGGGAATCTCAGGCCTCAGTGGAGCACCTCTGCATGGCTTCTCCATCTCCAGCAGCCTCCGTGGTCCCTGGCTTTCACTGCCTAGCTGTGCTCTGACAAGGTTGTTGGCCTGCACTCGAGCTGTGAAACGAGAAACCTTGATTACAGAGGAAAGAGCAGGTCGTCCCTTTTTCCTGCTGCTTGGGACACATGGAGGCAGACTGGCTCCCCGAATTAGTACCACTCCAGCCAGCACCCCACTCCGACACTTTTTCCCTGCTGACCCTGTCTCTGTTGCCTTCAGATCTCAGATATTGAGAGCCGGATTTCAGCTCTGACCCTCGCAGGCTTAAACATAGCACCATGTGTGCACCTCTCAAGGAAGCAGGAGCAAAGGCGAAGGAACCAGGTGAGTTATCCCTCACTCCCTCTGTGGAAAACTTGGAACCCAGGAAGTCACAGGATGAAGTTTCTCCAGCTGACAGGTCTGTGTTGTTCACAGGTGCAAACCATAGACACCTCCAGGCAGCAGAGGAGGAAGCTACCTGCTCCACCCGTGAAAGGTGAGTGTGTAGCACAACCTCATGCTACCAAAGAGCTGGACCCAGCCACCTAGGTCAAGAGCCTGGAGAGCAGAGTGAAGGAGAGTTTGCACCCAGAACGGTCCTTGCACATCTCAGCAAGTCCTGGGACAAGGACTGGAATGTCCACGGCTTGCTTGGGAGGTGACTCCAGGAAGCACTGGAGGGACAGGAAAGACATTAGTAAGCTAATGCAGAGCACTCTGACTTACAGGTTCTGCTCTGGGCAGGTGAAGCAAACCCTCCTGGGAGCCACCAGGAGACAGCGCTGACCACTCCTCGGGGTTTCCTGGCCACAGGGAGGAGACTGGGCATTTGACTGCTACCCCACCCATCGCTGGCTGAGGTCACTGCCTGGACCTTCTCACCCTGCTGGAGTGGGAGCTGCTGGAGACAGGCAGACAGTATGCCAGGAAGGGTCTCTTTATCCAGAGGACACTGCCAATGGTGTCCTTAGATTCAGGAGCCACAGAATGATGGTGCAAAACTTGAAACTTAGATTTGCAAACCAGAGGAGCAGGAAGTCATGAGATGTGGGTTTGGGCCTAGGTTTAGCTGCTTGGCATTCAATGCTTATATTCTACAAACCCTATATATACAGGTAAAACCCATCTCAGCCCCACAGTCCCTTATCTGAAAACTTTGGGTCCAGGTGTGGCCCACCACTGCCAGGCTTTGCACATGGAAGTTGGATTATTGTGTCCCAAACACATGACATCTGGGCTGGGTCTGGTTATCAAGCACAAGTGCCCTTGCGGCAGCAAAGTCCGAGAACATTCACCCTGCAGGGATGGACAGGGCTTCAAAGTCACAGATCATTCAGATCAGGGCTTGCAATCAGATGATTTAGCTCCAGACTTACAAGAATGTACAGATTTGGGACCCTTTTATATTTCAGGGTTGCGAGTAAGAATTCATAGACTGTATTAGGCAATCTCCAAGCTGCCTTTCCCCAGAAAGCTACCAACCACGCCTTGATATATTTGGTCAATCATAAAACAACACAAAATAGAAAGAATTATAATTAGCTATGTACAGGAGTGAGATAACAAGTCTAGAACAAGAATTTGGGCATCAGGCCACCGGTCTGTCTTCCATTCTAACTGGTGCTTATTCTGGGTAACACTTACTCCCATTTACTTCCTTTTAGCTGAAACAATTGAGGCATCTTCAGTGACCACCATTAAAATGTTTAACCGCAACTTCATTCTCCAAGGCTCCTCTACAAGCAGGCGTACAGATAGCGGCACGCAGGATCCAATGGTAACTATCACCCCATCTCAAAGCCCGTCCCTTCTACGCTCAGTGGTACCTCCATTCCACAGCCTTTGCTCTGCAGCCCCCCAGCAGCACCCCAGGAAGCATCACTTCGTGGGCTCGTGCTCTTTTGGGTTGACATGGTTGGGAGCCAGCCAGGGTGAACAACATCCTCTGAGGTATCGTTGGCCTCTCTAACGTGTGGGTGTAGCCTCTATTTCCAGCTTCTTGTAGAAACCAGGTTTGATAAATGAGAAATAAAAGCTATGCACACAGGGAGTAAGGGCTGGTAGAGGTATAAGAGGTTTTATTCTGTCTTCGGTTCATATTCACTTTGTGAAATTTTTTGTTAGCCAATTATCTGCCTTCCTAAAAAGGGTCAGCAGCTGTCCCTCAGTGTGGTAAGGTTGAGGCAGCGGGTAATTCGCACAAAGTGGAGGTCATATCAAGAGGGGAAAGCCAGCAGGTATGTAAGGATGTGCTGCCATGATTCCCAGGGAGAAGGGCAAGATTTCATCTCACCCCTGTGCACACACAGGAAGTGGCGATCCCTAAGTTGCTGTGGACAGACCATGTCTTAGTCTTCTCGCTGGGACACAACACCTGATGCCCACAACTCATGGAAGCAAAGTTTTATTTTGGCTCACATTTCAGTCCATAGTCAGAGGGCTCCAAGGCAGCACAGCATGGCAGAGAGGCCTGGTGGAGGAAATTCACAACATGGTGCACAGAAGGCAAGGAATGTGAAGCAAGGAGCTGGACAGGGAGATAGACCTGTCCAGGCCACACCCCCAGTGCCCACCTCTTCTGACTGGGCCCTTTCTCCTAACAGCAAGCCAGCTGTAGACCCTGCAATCCAGTCACCTCCACCACTTGCAGCTTTGGGCACGTCTAGAGGTAAACCTTACTGGGCCATGTCTGAGTGTGGCAGGCGCCTCACACACCCGCTGCCCCTGCCTCCCGTTCCACCCTGCACTTTCTCTTAGAAGCACAGAAGCAGCAGGGCCTGGCACCATGGTGGGCACAGGAGTTATTCTCTTGGGCTCCGCATGGCACCCCAGCTTCCCAGGCCTACTCTTCCCTGGTCAGCCAGCATACCTGACCTCGCAGAGCCCAGTCACCTTCCGCCACCTGTCCCTTCAGAGGTAGAACGACACCTGTTACACTGAAAGGGCAACCCGCCAGCATTAGGGAAGGAATGGTCCATAAAGAAGATTGTTAAAAAGAAATAACCATTTGCAGAGCTCTGGGGGTGGGGTGGACAGGAGGAAGCAGGTTACAGGGAACGGCTCGCTCTGGGGGACAAAGGTGTGTTTAAATAAAGACCGCGGTGGTGCTATGGCCCTGAAAATGTACCAAGTGCCATGCGGCCGTGCACTCCACCGTGGTGAGTTCTGCACTGTGTTGATTCTGCGTCAGTAAATTATTTTTAAAATAAGACAAAAATAAAGTGCCTTGAAGTAACATGAGAAGGTTAAAACGGAGGGCTGCACAGTATGTCCTAAGAAAAAACAATGACGCTGGAAGGAGCAGAAATACTACTTTCAAGTAGTGTAGAATTCAAGACAGGAAGTGTTCAGGGAAGGCGGAGGCTCAGGCAAGCTGAGCCCATCTTGATCTGGCCCATGAGAGAGCAGCACCATTTACTGTGTGATTTTAAAACCTTTTCAGACTTCAGCAGTCCCATTGCACCAGAAATAAATACCATTTAGAGAATTCACTAGTGTAATTATAACTGTGATTAAAATGTCTATCTGACTTTACGCTTTACAGATTATTCACTTTCTAAGCATCAGAGGAGCATTTGTAAAAATTGGTTTTGTACCGGCTTACACAGGGAAGCTGGAAACACTCCCAGACACGGGTGCAGAGCTCTGTCCTGCGACCACGGTGCTGAATGGAACTGGCACCGTGGCTCAGGGCAGTGCTCGGTGTCGCCCGCAGGAGCCGGCCCTGGAGTCTGCTGTGATGTACTAGTGCCACTGAGCACACTGCCAGTGACCCACTGCCCGGCCCACACGCCAGTGCCTTCACCAACAGCCATGGAGCCACGCGGGTCCAGACAGGAGAGGCCTAGGAGGCCACAGTGACCCCTTGCCAGAAGTCCACCTTGGAGCCAGGCCACTGCCCTGCCCACATGGCCTCAGGCTGGATCCAGCCCAGCGGGAGGGGGTGGGGTGGGGTATTTCGTCAGTGTCTGCCTCACTCCTTTGTTGTCTTCCTAATCTTCTTTTCCTTTGTCCCTTCGGTCAGTAAACTTCTGTGCCCATGACTGTCCCATGGAAAATCGTTGGAGGGAGGAGGCGGGCATTGTCACTTAGCTCATCACCAGTGCTTGCTGATCTGCCACAGACATTCTTCATGTAATGAACGCCAGGAAAAGCGAGGGCCCCTGCGTGAGCCCAGGGATGGTGTGACATGGGGCCCACTGTACAGAACAGCATGGTCCTCCCCTGGCCCATCCAGAACGCGTCCCGCTGAGGTTCGGGTTCTTCTGGGGATAGGGGACAGCTTCAGGACTGCTGCCATCAGCTCCTCCCTAGGGCCTGTCTGCAGTCAGTGACCGCACCTAGGTGAGGTCTGGGTAGACGGCCCAGACCCAGCACGGGAGGCTTGTCCTCCAGAATTTATGGACCAGCTGATACTCAGCAAGGTAGCAAAATGACCTCCAAGACAATAGTTAAGGAATAACTTCAGAAATGTAGTTAGGAAGAAAGCGAGGACAGACTGCAAACGTAGCAGACCCAGGAGCAGACAACTGTGTGCAGCGTACTCACTCTGAAACGGAAAGGGAGTCTCACTCAGCCACTGGGAGTTAGCAACATCTTTTGAGCATTTGCTCCTGATAGATTGTGCACCTAAAAAGGCAGTGGAGCAGGCAAGGGAATAGGAGACTGCGCACTGGGGGCGGCCCAAAGGAGGCAGCCCTCTCACTTAACCCTCAGACCTCCTTGGTAAGTAAGCCCACTTCTCGGATTTGGAAACCAAAGGCCGAGAGACCAGCTTTGCCCAGCACCACACCTGTGTGCTCAGCGTAGCAGGAATGCCTCACAAAAGCCTGGCTCTGTTTCCAGATTGTGTTCTTTTGCGCCCCTGTGCACCCCCAGACTTGAGTTGCTGCCAGTCCGTGTGTTAAGTTCCACTCCAGAGCAGGTCTGCCTGCCTGCCGAGAATGCTTCTGCTCATGCTGTGTATGTGTGCTCCAACCGATGTGACTCCTTTGAACAAGTAAACTTCAGCTTTTTGTTCTGTTGGTGTGATTCAAAGCAAAGCAAAATGAACCAAAAACTAATTTTAAAAACACAACAACAAAAAAAAAGATCTGACTTCCAAATAGAATGTTTTCCTTAAGAGGCATGAAAACCAACTATTGTTGTGTTGCAGTGTTAAAATACTCCGTTTCTTGATAAAATCAGTGTACTGTGTAAGCCTTGCAAAAAAGAAAAAAGTTTGCTCTATGACATTTGAATTTTTATAAAGGTTTCCTTGTGCCAAATACGTGCAAAGATTTAATTTACTATTTAAAAACTATAAACATATGTTATAGTTCCAGAGAATTATTTTGTCATCAAGTGATTTTGATCTTTAGTGTCAATATTTATATTTGATTAATTTTTATAAATGAAAATATTTTAAAGGTTTAAGAAAATAAGGACGACGGGACAGTATCTCTGATGGCTTCCAAGAGTCATGCTTGCTTTCACGTTATGTGCACTGTTGACAGAGAGGATAAAGAAGTAAAGTCATTTATGAAAACAGCGTGTGTGAGAGCTCTGTTGTTAGAGAACGGGTGGGGGAAGGAGGAAGCCACAGAGCTGGCTCTGCTCGCTCCTTGTGGCTCTGCTCAGACGATCCGTGTTCCTGGCTCCTCCAACCTTCTGGGGTCTCCACCACACTGTTGGCATCATACTCACAGTTTCATGCATTGCCCTTTCAGAACACACTGCCTGGCCTCCCAGGCCTTCTGAAATCTGTGTGGAAGCCTTGCATTCTACATGCCTATAAAGCCAGCACTAGAAGGATGATGCCAAGGTCTGCTGCCTCCTGGAGCAGTAGCCAGGCCCCCTTGAATTATACCTGTAGAGGCCTGTGAATGCCTGGATGGATGAGCACTGTGAACAGGATCCTGAAGAATAAATTCCCCAGGTAGTTATTCTGGATCTCAGTGCCCTGGGACTCTCTTCTCAAAGTGATCGTTCACTTTTGCTGTGCTGTTTGCTATTGATTCTCAATATAGAACTGGCTAAAAACCCCAAGTGATATTCATGTCACAATCTCAACATTGGGCTACCTTGAAATCTTTTCTCCCAAATTAGTCTGCCACCATTGATCTTAATCCCCCACAAAGTCTCAGACAGGAGTAAAATGTAGACAATTTTTTTGCTACAGTATAACATATGTATCTTGCCAGTGGAGTCTTTGTACCCATTTGAAACCTCCTGAGCCTGGCTTTTACTGCCTGCATATCTATAAGCATTCTGGCCTGAGCTCCAACCAGAATCTCCTATCAATCTCTGCTTACATTCTAGGGTCTATCCAGTAAGCATCCATTATACATTCCAGCAGTTTTTTGATAGTATGGCCTAGATCTGACATCAGCCAGAGGAACAGGGAACATAAAAGACAGACACCATTAACTTCTTGGCCACTGTGCTCTTTTTCCCGATGGCCCACTCTTCCTCTACAGAGCGCATTTCTTTTTCTACCTTTAATAAGTGCAAAACCTCACTTTAAAAAGCAAAGTATCTATCTAAGGAATAAAGAATGTATAGTATAGGGTGAGGAAGCCACTGTTTTCTTAAAATACTGATATACTAACCATTTGTCATTTTTATCTAAGAAAGGAAGTCTTGTGAGGCTCCCATTGAAGAACATACATGGTTTTTCCAGCCACAGTTTTATATCTATTTTAGGATGAAGCAAAAGCAAACAATATTAATCTATGATCAGTTTACCACCAGTTGACTGGCTCACCACAATTAATCTAATGAAATTAGCATAGACTCATAGAGCAAGATTTTCACACACACACACAGCATAAAAGTAGAAGGCAGAGCTTCTTTTATGGACATGAAACTAAAAGGGGTGGGGTAATTAAAAGTCCTGAGAACATGGTATTTAGAATTTATCCTTACTCCTCCAGGTAGGCTAGTAATTGCACGTTCTTCCAAACAGCATTACAGTTTATATCTATCCGATGTCCCCAAAGCCTCGTGTGCTCATGGGTGGGACTTTTGGGAGTGACTGGATCACAGGGCATGATACTCATCCGTGTGAATTATGAGTTCATGGCTGAGTGTGATGTTGGGGCAGTGGGTCCTGGGGCATGGCCTAGAAAGGCCTGTTCCCTCCTCCCGTGATTGCTCTCAGCTTCCACTTCCCCACCATGAGCTGCTTGTCCTCCGCCAGGCCACCTCTGCCGTGCCACCCTGTCTTGGAGCCAGCTGACTATGGATTGAAACCTCTACAAACTGTGAGCCAAAAGAAACATCTCCTTAGATTGTGGGTATCAGATATTGCGTCTCAGCAACAAGAAAGTGACTAAAACAGAGATTTCTTTAAATACTTATTCTACATTTATTGACAGGAGGGGCTGACCTCCCAAAAAGGCAAAAGTGGAAAAGAAATGGGGTCTGCGGGCAACTTCAAGCTCCTTCTCTCTTGTCCCAAGCAATGGGACCCATCTGCGTCGAGGCAGCACCTGGAGGGAGGGTGCAGTGCATAAGCTGCTCACCTCCCGGCAATGGGGAAGCTAAAAGAAAGAGGAGCAGAGCGGAGCCCCCACCACCCCTCCAGAGGCCCCATGACCTCACTTCCTCCCTAAGCCCCACCCGTCAAAGGCTTCATTTCCCAGGAGATCCACAGGCTGAATACTAAGCCTCCATACATGGGCCTGGGGGACATTTAAACCAGACAACAGCTCTAAACAGCTAAGAAGCTAAGGTTTGGGTGGCTGGCACTTCAGACAGGAGAACAGATGGGCCATCAGTGGGTCATCTGAAACCCTCCCTTGGCAGACAGTTCCTGGCAAGGATTCCTGATCTCCCCGTGTCCCCACCCCACCCCTATTCCCATGAAACAGCAAGACCTGCGCACCAGCGACAGAGGCCCAGCCATACCCAGGTCACAGCCACAGTCAGCTCCCAGGCTGGAAGCCCAGAAATGCAGATCGACCAACTCCTTGCGTGACCGGTCAGTACCGGAGAAGAGGAGGCAATGACAAGACGTACCACAAAAAATAACAGACAGCACTTCTTGTTTTCTGGAATAAACACAGTGTGAAGATCTTTTCTTCCTGAGAAATAAACGTTGGATTTTCCATGGAAAAGAATATGCAACCAATATGCAGAGCATTTGGAGGCTGCCAGAAAGTCTCTACGCCTAAACTCACCGCCTACCAGCTCAGTGGCCAGCCAGCTCCTCTGACAACTTTCCCTGCTTGTGGTGCTGTGAGAAGGGAAAACGAAATAACAGATGAGAAACACCTCAACAGAGTGTCTGGGAGTTGCAGGTACTCAGTGTTCGGTCCCCATTTCTCTTAGAACGAGGAAACCATTCAACAGCGCCGCGACTTGTGACAGCACGGAGCACCCCGCTTCAACAGTGTGCCTCGTAGTGGAAGAGATCACCATTCCTTGAACACTCACTCCTTTACCCCCAGCTCTGGGAGGCGCACACCATCTGCCCCGTTGTGTTCGGGCTTGGTGTCAGGACTTGTCCAGGGATGGGTGGAGACGTTTCCTACGGTGACTTTGAACTTAGCCATGTGACTTACTTTGGCTAATAGATCTTGGCAGAGAAGCCATAAAAGAAGCTTGAAATGCTTTGTGGAGGGTACTTGTCCGCTCATATTTCAGCAGTCATGATAAGGTCGTGCCCAGTGCAGGCCACTGGTCCAAGGAGCAGCCCCAGACCCCGCGTGCAGCTGACACTTCAGCCCAGCTGGGGCCAGCCCGAAAGAGCAGAGCTCCCAAGATGCCATGAGGTGCACAAGTTGCTCTTTGAGTTTTGGGTCGTTTATTATGCAACATTATTGTGACCAGAGCTACGCTCTCTGAAACATTCATTTTATCGCCTTATAATTATCCCCACATTAGGGATGAACGGATGAGTATCAAAACGTAAAGTGATACAACCATCCAGAAGATGTGTAGAGGAGCTATCAGGCTGCTTGTGTTTGACATTTCACACCTCTCTCTTCTCTCTCAGCATGTGTGTGTGTGTGTGTGTGTGTGTGTGTGTGTGTGTTGAGCTTTCATAAAAGAGCCTCTATTCATTGAAAATTTTGATAAAATATTAAAGCACAGGAGACATTTGGTGCGATCATTTAAAAATAACTTCTTGCTTGACAGCCTATTTTCTCCCAATGGAAGTGCTTCCCATACATGATTTGCATTTTACAGAACAGTTGGTTGTGTGAGCCTTCTGTCTTCGTAAGTGAGCTATAATTACGACAGCATGCAGGTAAGTGGAGTTGCACTTTAAAGAGCTTTCCAGTGGCTGGAGACCTTCAATGTCCACATCATATTCTGGTGATAACCTCAGAGAAGTTATCAGGAGTCCAGTTTGGTAGAATGTGTCCTAAAATACAGAAAAAATGTCGTGTATCAAAACTGTTGCATTCAGTAAAGATGAAAGATTTCCCACAGTGCTTTTCAAACCTTACTGCGTAAACTGATTCTGACAAAGCAGGTCTGGGCTGGGGACCAAGTGTCCGAGCCACAGGCCACACCCTGAGCAGCAAGGTTCCATGGAGCTTCTCAGGGGTCCCTCAGGGTGCAGGCCCAGGAGTAGCTGGGGGTGACTTGCTCCTGGATATCTCTTCTGTGGCTTTTCCTTTCTTCATTCTCCCACATCCCTCCTCCCTCAACATGTACCTTGGAACTGCTTCCCCAGTGAGCAACGGGCTTAGAAAATGTGCTGGCAAACAGCCCAGAGGAATTCATTCCCTGACTGCACCCCTGTGTTTGTATATCTGTCCTGCATGAGCTCTAGGCCTTCTTAGTCCTGCCCAGAGAAATGCTTGAGGTGAGCACCTTGGTGCCCACTGAGGGAGCTGTGGTAGCCTCAGCTCTGCACCTATGTGACTGAACTGCAGATCATGCAGAACACAGAACAGTCCTTCTCATGCTCATCCTGGGGCATGGAGCTGCCATCTTTGTATTAGCCTGTTTTTCTGTAACTATAAATAAATACCCAAGTCAGGGTAACTTTATAAAGCAAAGAGGTTTATTTAGTTCACAAATCTGAAAGTTCACAGGCATGATACCAGCACCGGCTTGTCTCTGGTCGAGTGTCATGAAGGATGAAGTCATAGCAGTGAGAGGAAATGTGGAAGGAAGTGGTCACATCCTGAGACAGGACAGCAGAAAGCTGGGGGTTGCCGGCTTGCTCTGTATATAACGATCCTCTAGGAAGAAGTGACTCAGGGGTCCCAAGGTGCAGCCTTGGTCCCCAGGAGGGAAGCATCTCCATGATCTAAGGCATTGTGTCACCAGGCTCCACCTCCTGAAGGTCCACACCCGCTCCTGCCACCACCACCAAGCCTCCAGCCAGGAGCCCTGGGAGGCCAAAGCTGACATGTATGGGGAGGAGTTCCAGCACAGGACGGAGGAGAGGAGTCTCACTAGCCCTCTGCCCACCTTCACTCTCCCTCTGTGGAAGGCGCGAGGCATCCTGGAAGGGGAGGATGGGCCCAGCACCTGCTCCCCAAGGTTCTGCCCAGGCCTTGTGTTCTCAGACTCGCAGGTCTACAGGCTGCACTCGGCACTCCAGCCACTTCAGCTGAGTTGGGCGTGGCATCGCCTCACCACCTCTGGGCTGTTAGCCCAGCGTTCTTGTTCACCACTGCCCCTTCTGTCGTCACGTCTTTGAACATGGCCCACATACACAGCTATGACCTACCTTCTCCTGTTATGCTTTACATCTAAAATGCCCCCACGGATCTCCTGTGCATGGAAGGCGACTGGGTCGTGGGGTGCTATACTTGTCAGTGGATTCATCCATTGAGTTCA